TCGATGGGAGTTGCAGTTCAGAAGCTTGGCGCATTCCCTCTGGCCCTCTCCCATTGCCTAATTTACATCTCCTGTAGTGCATCATGCAACTTGGTCAGAATGCAATGTGAAATCTTACAGCCTGATGTAGTGATAAAGGAATCAGAGAGGTTCAGGCATTGGTTGCCATGAAACAGCATGCTGCGGCGGGAAAATGGAAGTTTGTGTTCCAGTGTTCAGATTCTTGATGCAATATTGTAGGTCAGCTAAAAAAAAATACTTATGTCAAGTATTTATAGGTTAAATGCTTCCTCTGAGTTTCTGGGATGGAAGATTGGAAATGTAGGTGGCTAGAAAATGGAAAATACCTGCCACAGTTTGGAAATGCACTTTCCTATGCACAAACTGGAGCTGGGATCCAGTCTGCCTAAAATCTGTCTTTGCCTTAGACTCCATCCTATCTCACATACTTACCAGGTTTGCCTAACCCTGTAGCTAACTCTTCATTTAATATCTCCTGGTGAGTCTGAGAGGTCTTCAGGTCCATATCTTGATTCACCAACAGGTTAGGAGAGACATTTCAGGGAGAACAGGTATTTATCTCCTTCCTAAGCTCTCCTATGGGCTGTTTTTAGGCAGTCAGTGGATTTCCAGCCATATCCACGGGAGAAGCCTGGAAAATCAGACGTCATCAAGACTGCTGGAAGTGATGACTTCTCCTGAAATAAAAAAAAGTGGTCGGAGCACTCCTCCAAAAAGGTACAGATCCTCGTGCAGGGCAGCTCCAGGGAGAATGCAACCTGGGCCTCTCACAGCATAAAAGAGGGACCGGACTGACAGGTCATGTCCAGATAACCCAGTAACTGTTCTGCTGGAGCCTGGTGAGCAAGAGCCCTGGGGTCAAAAACCAAATGCAAGAGGGTGACTTCTCTAACCTAGAGTTATTCAGGTGGCATGGGAGAAAACTCTGCTCGTTTCTTCTAAAGACATTTTGCCTCTTCTGTGGTTTAATGTAAAATGCATATCTAGTGCAGGGAGAAGGAGTTGTGGCTCCAGTTCCCCATACCTCCAGATGAGCCTAGCTGCTTTGCAGCTGCGAGGGTTGCTCACCTGAAGTTACACTTGCTTGTGCCTGGTTTGGGCCAGGAGCTCTGCCTTCCTGGCCAGCTGCAGCAAAGATGGTGTCACCAGAGAGGGTACCTCTCAGGGGTGGTGGGTGCCACCTCCAGCCCAAGGACACAGAGCTCTTAACCCGTTGCTTCCCACTTCACCCATGGGTGTATGTGTCATTACTGTTGTCGTAGCCGTCCCGCTAGGCACCTCTGGCCAGGGCAGCTCAGAGGGTTGTCTTGTGCAGGCACCACTGTTCCCTACAGAGTGAGGGGGGAGGAAAGGAATTAGGAAGGCAAGATCATCCTCCTCAGGATGCACTCAGCAGGATGCACGTAGGCAACTGGGCTAGACAGACCTGTCCTCTCTGTCCCCAAGACAAGGCAGCTTGAATTTCAGTGAAATCGTACCGAAATGAGGCAGCTGGCACGGACAGATGTGACAGCACCCACTGCTTTCTGTCAGGTTGTCTTTCTGATGAAAAGATCCTGGTTTCTGGGCAGGGAAAGGAGGGGAGGAAGAACCACAGGGCAGGAGTGCCATTCTGCTTTGCAGGACTTCCTTTTTTCTCCGATCAGCAATATTGTGTCAGCAACAAAATAAAAATAAGACATAGAGAAGGACCCATCCAACGCTCAGTCATAAAATATCTGGCCACCTTCAGCTCCCAGCTTTAGAACATCAAGTGTGACAGCCCCGCAGCAGTTGGGCTATTTGCTTTAACCTCTCATGGGTGGTGAATACTACCTAACAGAGGAGTAAAAAGTTTAGAATTGTAAAATACTCTTCCAATCCTGGTAGTAATTACCTCTTAGCAATGTTAGTGCTTTGCCAACTCAAAGAGAACTAATCCCCTTCTGTCATAGGAAAGAAAAAAAATGTAATAGCTGTGAGAACTGTGGAGCTTATTTTCAAATAGATGCCTCAGCATTTTGATATTTTCTGTGGGATTAACTAGTAACACAGGAAGGCTAATACATATGCAGAGCTTTCATTTGCTTCTGTGACAATTTGCCGAGGGCAAATTGAACTGTGTCATGAGAAACAGTGTCGTTTCCCCCCTCCCTTCCTTGTCAGTTGAAGCAAAAAGACTTGTTAGTAACATAGAAACAATTTACAACTTATCATCAGTTCAGGGGAAGTTTCTCTTAGCTCCTGGCCTCATATTTCTGCTTTTCTTATGTTTCTCTTTTTCTTACCAAAACAGAAAGGGCTGCCATTTTATAAGCACAGAAGCCACATAATGAAAGGTGTAAAAGCGTTGCAGTAAAAGCATCTTTGCTAACATCAAATAGACACTGAAGCTCTTTCTGTACTGATTTGTTACACTTTTCCCCCCTTCAGCCTAGCTGCTTCTAGCTAAAATTAAAAAAAAAAAGATTATTTGCTCTGCTGTACATATAACCCTGGCTCCTAACGATGGCTTTGTGCTGTGCTTTGGTGGTCTTCTGAGGCTGCCTCTGCGAGCATCTGGTGCTGATGGGCATGGGCAGCGATGGCTGCAGAATACTAATGCTGGGGCTGGCTCCCACAAGGCTCCACTTTTGAAAAATGCTTTAGCCATTCAGCGGCCGTGCACCGTGCTGAGCAACAGGAGGGCAGAAAAGCCATGCTCAGGGATTTTTATTTTTTTTTCAATGCAGAGCAAGAAGCCGACAGGACCGATGGCTCTTGTCTTCGCGTTGTTGTGCCCAGGCTTCTTTCAGAGCTGCAGTCATTTATATGCATAAATATCAAGGCTGTCACTTGTTGCAGGCTTTGATAGCATTTGTGTGACAAAGGAAACAGAGGGAGAAAAGAGCTGAACATCTTCTATTCCAGTCTTAGAAAATGAATGGCTGCGTAGCTATGGCGATTACTTTCTTTCTGGTTTTATTAGATCACTGTTCTCTGCGATTTGTTTTCCTTCCTGTCCTGCTGCCCCATGTAAAGGACCACGAGAAGACCTCCCCCCACACCCCCTTTGTCTTTCTCCCACGCTGTGACTATCCACAGGGGATATCTCAAAAGAATTACCTACCAGTAACAATCGCCACAGCAAAGCTTCTTGCCATATACTGACACAGATATTTTTTTTGCTTCAATTTTTTTCTTCCATTAACCATCTGACAAAGTCAATCCACATCACCCCTTTCATGCAGAGATACGAGAACTCTGCTGTAATTGTATTTTAGGTGATTTACTTGATTATTCTGTATCTCCCCTAGGCAAAATGCATGCTTGCTGTTTGCTCTGCATACCATATCTTTCTGCAGCTTCTAAATTAAGGCTGATGGTATGTTTACCGATCATCTCTGGAAAACCCTGCAGTTGCATCTAGCTTTTCTCTGGGTCTTGTGGCTATTCTGTATTGAAAGACAACTAAAATACACTACTTGTATAATACTGTTTTTCCATTAAAGCAATTGCTGAAGTATCACAGGAATGTAATTCCGATGCCAGGAGGGAGGAGGGAGAGGTTCGTACTGATTGCCAATAGGAGGGGAAACAGCCTGTGAGAATCCCCCTATTAAATGTGGTCTGCACAATGAAACGCTTGGGAAGCCTTTCTAAGGCTTCACACATTTAGGCTTTGTGCCCAGGCTTGGGGTCTGAGTTTCAGAACATCACACAGGGGGAACCATTTCAGCAAAAATATCCAGATTACCTGGATAATTTACTAAGCTCTCTTGGATCTCCATTCACATGCATCTTTATTGGCATGTGACTCCAGCAGAACAGAAGTGACAATTTCTCCCTTGCCCTCCAACCAGCCGTTGCTCTGCTTCTGAGCTATCAAAGAGGTTTCAGGGACAACAACAGATAGAGCCCCCATGAACATTCCCAAGGCTAACTAGAGGTTTCTGTTTTCCCCTGAGCAAGTGTAATTTTGTGTGCGTCGTGATTTTACCAGTCTTCCTTAATCTTATAAAAACCTTGAAAAAATATCCAGATTACCTGGATAATTTATAAGCTCTCTTGGATCTCCATTCACATGCATCTTTATTGGCATGTGACTCCAGCAGAACAGAAGTGACAATTTCTCCCCTGCACTCCAACCAGCCGTTGCTCTGCTTCTAAGCTATCAAAGAGGTTTCAGGGACAACAACAGATAGAGCCCCCATGAACATTCCCAAGGCTAACTAGAGTTTTCTGTTTTCCCCTGAGCAAGTGTAATTTTGTGTGCTTCGTGATTTTACCAGTCTTCCCTAATCTTATAAAAACCTTGAAGCAGTAGTATTACAGTCTTGATGGTCTGAAGATATAAACAGTGCAGGATTTGTAGAGACAAGTAATATCTTTTCCTGAAGAAGGACTTGTGTGCCTGAAGGCTTGTCTGGTTTTTTTTTCCCAACTGTATCAGTTGGCCTAATAAAAGATATTACCTCTCCCTGCAAACTTTGTCTTACTTATTAGAACAGTTGCCTCCAGGACACAGAACACTCTTAACTGGGTGGAAAACTCCAACGTCACGGTGATAGAGTGAAGTTCAGTGGTGCGATTTCCATGCCCCGAGCCAGCTGGCACAAATTAAAACAAGGTGGGATGAACACTGTCCACCCTGATCATTCTGCACATCATTAGTGTCCCTTTCACCCGCACTCTACATCAGTATTTTTGTCTTTCCTACCTCTCAGCTGTATGGAGCAGCTCTTTTCTAGCACAGAAATGCACATTGGGTAACATCTTTTGGATGCTACCTCGGTAGAAACAGCAACTCTTACAGTATGCTGGATGAAACTTCTCTGTCTTCTGATGATTTTCTTGGTTGCTATATCTCTGTACATTAGTTTACTGCAGGTGAGCTTGGGAGAGGTGAAAAAAAAAAAAGCCCAGTGTGACTGAGTAGACTGTTTCTCCTTTAAGGATCACCTAAATGTTGACAACTTGGTTACAAATCTTAAAGGATATTTTTCTTTTTATACTCTCAGGTGAACTTTCTGTGGAAGGCATACAAGACCCATTTCTTGTTAGTGTGCATATTATCGCAGACCCAGGTGAATCCAAGACTCTTCAGCAAGCCATCGATAAGCTTCTAGCCTGGATCCATCCAGACCTCCAGCTGTTTCGAGTCTCAGAAAGACGAGTGGCCAAGAAGCGCAGGAAGCCAGGTAAGGCTGGTGTTTCTCAGCCAGCCCTTGCCATCATTTTGTTTCTGCAGGAGGAATATGGAGAAGAACCCATCTTGCAGCTCCACGAAACCTTTCAGCAGCCACCTTGGCATTACCACCACACAGAACGAGTGCATGGGAAGTTCCTCCCTTACATGCCATGCAGCCAGGACTTCTACACTTTGGCTCCGGAGACTCCTCTGTGGGCCATTCGCCCCGTGCACTACGGGAAAGAAATCATCCGCTTCACCATATATTGCAGGAGTGAAAACTTTGTTGACATTTTGAAATTGTATGAGTTAATACTGAAAAGACCAGTATGTCAGAAAAAAGCTGACTTTTGCGTTTTTCCTGTCTATTCTAACGTGGAAATAGACATTCAGTTTTCTGTAAAAAAACTTCCGAAGGGCCATGTGCCAATGCCAACAGAGTCAGCGGTGCTGGAGTTCAGAGTGAAAGACGTGGGGCAGCTTGTGCCTCTCTTGCCCAACCCTTGCAGCCCCATCAGCGAAGGCAGGTGGCAGACAGAAGACCACGATGGAAACAGGATCCTTTTGCAGGTAAGCTCAGTACGCAGGGAAACAGAAGCACATTTATTGGTTTTGTGGAGGAAAGCTTAACCTGTAATGGCAACCAGAAAAGGAGGCTTCTTTTTTTTTTTTCCTCTCTATCCTAGCAGAAAAAAGAACAGTACCACTAAAGAAAGAACTTGAAAGCCCTTGCTGTTGTGTGTAACTAGTCAGGAAAGCAATGGATGCTACTATCCAGATATCAGTCAACCCCAGTTTATGCAAAGAGCGATGTGAGATGAGGTGGCTGTTTAAAAGAATGAGGAGAGAAGGAATTATGAGCCCGAGTGGAGAAATGATAGATGATGGGTGTAGTTTTATAAGAAATACGGGCACAGAACTGACAGGGGTTTATAAAATAGCTCTCAGTTATGAGATTTTTATGGGAGACAAGCAGAATTCCTGATGGTACTCATTATTTTCTAGCATCACAGAGTGACAAACTGCATCTCTCTTTTGCACAGTGATTATCAGGATGGGGAGAGAGGTGGTGAAAGAAAAGAAATGCACCCTAAAGAGCAGCCTAAGAGAGCCGTTCCCACAGCCTCTCCTTTTGAATTAATCGCAAGTGCTCGTAACCAAGTCCTGAAGGAGAGTTTGTTAGGACATCTGTAGGCACCATATCTGGGCAACGTACCGGCATGCTCTGCTTCACTACACCCCATCCGAGGGAGATAAAGGGGATAACAAGCAGCAAGCTTTTAATAGCTGTCTGCCCTGCA